GTAGATACGTTCCGTTTTTTATGAAATTGATGTTTTAGGAGACCTTGCCAATCACAGCCTGACACGTGTGAAGTTTACGGACTATGGCTGTTTGAAAGGTTTTCTTCCATAAAATTAATCGATTCCTAGACTAATTCCACTCAACATTTCCAAAACATATTTTTTTTGGGAATAATCCATATAAACTATGCTATAAACAAAAAATTGTAGGATTACTTATCAAGTGTGCACCGTTCGACGTCACCATTGCTTAAGCTTGTTTTCGTCGTGGAGCAGTGCACCAAATAGTGGCCGCGATTTCTGATAAGTTATTTTTCTGCGAAAACTTCGTTGAACTTTGGAAACATCGTTAATATAAATAATTTTTATGGACGTTGAATAAGAAGTGTTTCTTTCACAAGAAATGTATAAAATTAGTGCTGTATTAGAATTACGGTACCTAATTTACATACTGTACAGACGATAATAAACTCAACTTATTGCCTAAAATCTCCATAGAGTGGCGCAGGGTTGGAGGAAAGTAGTTCGGCTGCTCATCCACTATTGGTCCAGACTCTATCAATCTTGTCGCAAAACAAGTCAGCGAAGACGTTTTAGGAGATGCTTTATACGAATGTTGCTACAATTTTTTCGCTACGTTATAGGAATTGTCGTTATAGGAACGCATGTTATAGGGGGTCGACTGTACTACAAATACATTCCAGAGACAGTATTGGAAAACAACACGCACAAAATGCACTATGACAGAGCCATAATCACAGATAAAACAATTTACCACAACAGACCAGACATCACACTCATTGATGAACACAATAAAATCACATACATTATAGACATAGCCATTCCAAACACTCACAATGTACAAAACACATGCACTGAAAAAATTAGCGAGTACACAGAACTCGCCCAGGAAATAAGGCATCTGTGGAGGATGGATAGGGTGCTCATTGTACCTCTTGTTCTCTCCTGTACAGGTGTGATACCACACACGCTACACAAATGCCTGGGAACATTACAATTGAGTAGAAATACCTACATCACACTACAGAAGGCCACTTTCTTGAATACATGCCACATTGTTAGGAAATTCCTGAATACAGACACACACACTGACACACTTCAATTTTAGTTTTGTTTTGGTTGCTATGCCTTGACACTGGTCTGGCATAGTACACAGCCACCGGTGTAAACCGAGTATAACTCACAAAACCCAACATAATAATAATATAAAAGTTATTTTTTAATAACACCTTGTAATAGATGACACCACCATGCACAATTTTAACTTTTGACTAGTGTTGAATATCAATATTTTTTGAACTTAAGTATTTTTGAATTGAGATTTTTATCATAAATTAATTTAACAAAATTAATCCTTCTAAGTTTTTGTTATTACTTTTAATTTTATGTCCTAGTATAACTGAAAATTATCAGACTTACTAATGTTTCTTTTAACCTCCTGTTTGAATGCTGGGAAAATCAAGCAAGAATCCTTGCTTGCTTTTTTGAAATACACATGAACACAACATTTGAAAACTAGAACTTTCTCTGGCGTGTGATTTCCTCCATGTCATTCTCGCAGAAGACTACAAGATGTATTTGTTGATTGTTAAATTATCCAAAATAATATAATACAATATCATTATTTGTATTGAAAGAATTTTCCTGACTACAAAAATTCCTAAAATACTGACTTGCTTTCAAGCATTTTTAAGCAAAAGTATACCTTTAAGGCTTCTGAAACAATGATGTGGACACTGTTTCTTCATATCAAAGTATCCTATTTTTGAGTAATGTGTTGCATCTATTTCAGAAAGATGAGTTCTACTATTAAATAGGTATCAGTAAGATTTTGTCATAATCATAATTAGAATATTTTATTGCAGTGCAATTCATGGTTTACCTAGTGCTCTATAAATTATTATAAATAACATTATTATTACAGAAAAATGAGTTTATAATAATTTTTCTTTAAAGAAAAAATATAGTAGGAATGGTTAATCCAACTCCTAATTTAATAAATACACNATACGTTCCACGCTAATCGAATTTTACATTGTAGGAATGATTAAATACATGAGCCATTCGCAGCCCGATAGGTGTGAACTTTACGGACTAAGGCTGTTTGAAAGATTTTCTTATATAAAGTTAACCGATTCTAGACTAATTCCACTCAGCATTTCCAAAACACATATAATTTTTTGGGAATAATCTGTATAAACTATGCTATAAACAAAAAATTATAGGATCACTTACCGAGTGTGTACCGTTCGACTATGCCGTTGCTCAAAGCTTGTCTTCATCGCGGAACAGCACACAAAACGGTGGCCGCGATTTCTGATAAATAATTTTTCGCAGAAAAATAACTTGACCTTTGGAGACATCATTAATATAAATAATTTTTATGGCCGTTGAATAAGAAGTGTTTCTTTCACAAGAAATGTATAAAATTAGTGCTTTATTAGACTTACGGTACCTAATTTACATACTATACAGACGATAATAAACTCAACTTATTGCCTAAAATCTCCATAGAGTGGCGCAGGGTTGGAGGAAAGTAGTTCGGCTGCTCATCCACTATTGGTCCAGATTCTATCAATCTTGTCGCGAAACAAGTCAGCGAAGACGTTTTAGGAGATGCTTTATACGAATGTTGCTACAATTTTTTCGCTACGTTATAGGAATTGTCGTTATAGGAACGCATGTTATAGGGGGTCGACTGTACTACAAATACATTCCAGAGACAGTATTGGAAAACAACACGCACAAAATGCACTATGACAGAGCCATAATCACAGATAAAACAATTTACCACAACAGACCAGACATCACACTCATTGACGAACACAATAAAATCACATACATTATAGACATAGCCATTCCAAACACTCACAATGTACAAAACACATGCACTGAAAAAATTAGCGAGTACACAGAACTCGCCCAGGAAATCATCTGTGGAGGATGGATAGGGTGCTCATTGTACCTCTTGTTCTCTCCTGTACAGGTGTGATACCACACACGCTACACAAAAGCCTGGGAACATTACAATTGAGTAGAAATACGTACATCACACTACAGAAGGCCACTTTCTTGAATACATGCCACATTGTTAGGAAATTCCTGAATACAGACACACACACTGACACACTTCAATTTTAGTTTTGTTTTGGTTGCTATGCCTTGACACTGGTCTGGCATAGTACACAGCCACCGGTGTAAACCGAGTATAACTCACAAAACCCAACATAATAATAATATAAAAGTTATTTTTTAATAACACCTTGTAATAGATGACACCACCATGCACAATTTTAACTTTTGACTAGTGTTGAATATCAATATTTTTTGAACTTAAGTATTTTTGAATTGAGATTTTTATCATAAATTAATTTAACAAAATTAATCCTTCTAAGTTTTTGTTATTACTTTTAATTTTATGTCCTAGTATAACTGAAAATTATCAGACTTACTAATGTTTCTTTTAACCTCCTGTTTGAATGCTGGGAAAATCAAGCAAGAATCCTTGCTTGCTTTTTTGAAATACACATGAACACAACATTTGAAAACTAGAACTTTCTCTGGCGTGTGATTTCCTCCATGTCATTCTCGCAGAAGACTACAAGATGTATTTGTTGATTGTTAAATTATCCAAAATAATATAATACAATATCATTATTTGTATTGAAAGAATTTTCCTGACTACAAAAATTCCTAAAATACTGACTTGCTTTCAAGCATTTTTAAGCAAAAGTATACCTTTAAGGCTTCTGAAACAATGATGTGGACACTGTTTCTTCATATCAAAGTATCCTATTTTTGAGTAATGTGTTGCATCTATTTCAGAAAGATGAGTTCTACTATTAAATAGGTATCAGTAAGATTTTGTCATAATCATAATTAGAATATTTTATTGCAGTGCAATTCATGATTTACCTAGTGCTCTATAAATTATTATAAATAACATTATTATTACAGAAAAATGAGTTTATAATAATTTTTCTTTAAAGAAAAAATATAGTAGGAATGGTTAATCCAACTCCTAATTTAATAAATACACAGATTCTGTTGTTCAAACACTATGTAATGTAATTGATCGATCACTTGGCATTTTTCAACTGAATAAAAATTAACAGGTGAAAAATACCAAGTGATCGATCAATTACACTACATAGTGTTTGAAGAATGGAAAAGAATAATGGCATGGTATCAAATTATTAATATACACAGATATATTTTGACTTGTAACCATTCGACATACAACANATCGATCAATTACACTACATAGTGTTTGAAGAATGGAAAAGAATAATGGCATGGTATCAAATTATTAATATACACAGATATATTTTGACTTGTAACCATTCGACATACAACAGTTTGAAACTACAGCAGTAGTTATGCATTTGTAGTAGCCATATCAGCAAATACAAGGCAAATATAGTGTAGTTATATGGTTGATTTAGTAGTTGCTAGCTGTAAGCATACAGTTAGCAATTACTGAGTATGAATTTATATGTATTATACATATAACCCCATACTCTTTACAGTATAATATGCTCTATAATAGCTATAATAAATGGTTTTATTAAACATAATGTACATTCTGTTTTGTCTGTTACTAACATTGATTACTGTTTATGGTCACCTTAGTATAAAATATCCCATGGTAACATAAATTAGTAGCTATCACATGACATCTTTCATCAGCTAGCATTGTGTTTTCATTTGCATGTACTATTTTGGATTTACAACTAGTCTGCCATAACCGAGGCCTGTCAAAAGTAAAGATATATCTGTATTTTAAAATTGTTTAAGGAATTTAAAATATAATTAAATTCAAATGTTTAATTTGGGTGTTTAAATTTAAAAAAAACCCTATTTAAAGGTCGAATTAGGTATATTTATTACGTAACTGTTACTTTTTTTTCCTTACAGAAATGATCAAAATCGTATTTTTTTAAAATGTAATGCATTTATTAATGCTAATTTTCTAACAGGTGCTTCATCGTCGAAGAAAGAAAAGAAAAAGTTACATCCTAATCGTCCCAGCCATAGTTGTAACTCTAAAAAAAGCAGAGTTCGTCCTTCACAGGGAAGCGTGGGAAGCAATTCCAGTCAAGGATCAACTGGACAAAGTAGTTTTGAAATTATTTGAACTTAAAGAAGTGATGAGACATTCCTATGATATGCTTATTATTATTTTTTCTTGATCCTACTGCCCAGATGTTGAGTATGTGCTACTTACCAAAAGAAGTGATGCTAGTGATCTATGTCATCAGGAACAACACTTACTTTTGTTTTGAAATGTTACTACGAAGGTCGAGATCAAGATTTGGATGGTGTTGGCAAATGTTGTAGTGAGAAAAAATAAATTAACCTGATGGTTAAGGATTGTAAAATTTGTGCAGGAAGAAAAAATGGAATTCTCTTTCACTCGTTTCTGAAATACTGTCCATAATAGATGGCAGAATTGACTGTATTTATCGACACGTCTCGAGGATGTCGCTCGAGTCGCCGTCGTGTCAGACTACAGGTATCTCTGTAGTTGTATGGTATTGTAATAAACCTTTAAAGGAATTACAAAATATGCATTCCAAGAAAGGATATTTTGCACATTTAACATCATGCAAAGTCAGTGCTATTTTTACTTAAAATCTTTTAGTTAATTGTTTTTGGTTATACTGTGTTATTCTAGAAAGAATCTAAGGTTTATTTAAAAAGCGTTATGATATGTTTATTGGAAACAACTTAACTGAAATGCTCTCTGCAAGATTCGTTTTATTTATTTTTTATTATTGGAGGAATGTTACGTGTAAAATTAACACGAAAGATAGTCGAATTTCAAACATCTGCATCGGTAAAAATAGGCCTCTAGCCTTCTCTAGACGTGGCGCAGTACAGAAATAGCCGGATACGGTCCACCCGCCGTTAATTTCGAAGACATTACTGACAAAATGATTTATCAATATTGCTTATTTTTGATTAAGAAATTCTGTAAGTAGTCAATATTGTTAACATGAATGCACTTTTAGGGAATTTGCAAGTGCAAAATCCCTTTTCCTGAAGAAATATTTACATTGTGGAATGCAATAAAACAGCACTGTTGACTTATATAGTCATTGATGATGTGAAATTTGTTTTATAGTGTAAATTTGTTTTTTATTTTTTAATAATTTGTTTAAAGACAGTAAATGGATGTTTTTTTTCTTCCAGTATTATTACTGTCTTCCAACATCAATTGTAAAAATTAAATAAAACACAAATTAGATGAGGTAATTTGATTTATTTGCAGTATTTTGTTTTTAGTTTTTAATGAAAAACGGTAAATTTTTTTCTGCTAATTTTTAAAAAATATCTATATATATATGAGAATAGTTCATGAGTTTTGATTTTGTATAATTGGCTAATATTTTTGGAAAGCACTTTGAAATATTAGCCATTATTAAATTTACTCTAAAAGTTGAAACTAATTTGCATATTGAATCAAATTCATATTACATGAGGGAACATTTAAAAGCAGTTAGTGGCCAGATAGAATGAATTTAAATTTATTCTCCTCTTATTTAACATTAGTGTATTCGTAATTTTGCAATATAGGTACTGTACAGTACCAGTACCTATCTGGATAGCAATGAAATGGGAGGTGTTGATACTGGTCAGTCACATCTCTGTCAATGGAAACAACACTATCTTTAGTTGTGCAAAAAACGGCCTAGCAATCTATTATACTTCTTTATTGTGCCACAAAAATTCTTTATAGTTACAACAAAATGAACTACAATATATTGCCAGAAAACAAAGTCCTCAGGCAGTGATGCCTTTAAAAATACGATACCCCTAGGCCCACGATATGCAGATGTCTCCAAACTAATAGTACCACTTTTGCACCGAATAATTCAATTTTAATTCTATAATAATTGTATTTTTACAGGTTTTTTTAAAAAGCAAAAGGACATTTCATTAAAAACCCATCAGTATTACCATTCTGTTCGTGCAAAATATATTCATACACTGTATTAATACTCACTGATATGCCTTATTTTTTCCCTTACTTAGGCTTTTAATTTGTGCTAATTCCTTTATGAATTGTTTCTATATAAAATTATATTTTCATTATTTTATTATTTTGAATTTTTATATATCCCATACTCTTGTACCCTTAGGCCTAGGCCTAGTTGGCCACTGCCTAAGATCAGAAAGCACTTAAGCTACTGGTAAAACTAAACAAAAAACAATGCTCAAGAGTAATATTGGCATCTAATATAGAACAAATCCTTTGAGCCTTCTGACTGCTAGTGTTCCTGTGTATGAAATGAAACTTAGAATCTATGAAAGAAGTTTATATTAGACGCCAGGAAATGTAAAATGCATAAACCAATGTGGTGCAGAGAGTGTTACGGCGTGACCTGATCTATATATTTTTCAACATAGACAGAGAGTGAGTGTGTGAGTTGAACATCTGTATCGACATCAGTCTCAGTTCAGCAAATTTTCCTGTTCCACTGTCTTGTAGATATCGAGTAGTCTGTTAAAAATAGTTATTATTTGGAATGTAGTCTTATCCAGTCTTACCATTGGGACAAAGCCACACAGACAGGTGATCCGGTCGCCATCGAGAGCTCGACAAAGTAGGACGAATTTCCGTTACTCCATTTTGCATCAACACACACGATCGTTACAGGCATCGTGATGCCTTGCATGGTTGAGAATGAAATCGAATGTGCGCAGAATGATTTGATAGGTGTCGATAAAACAAAATGGATTGGTTTTGGATACTGGAAATTGAAGATTCAAAATTAAAAAAGCTTAGTATCAAAATGGCGTTTATTATTCAGATTTATGCATTAATTAAATTAACAACAGACGCAAAAGGATTAATATCTTATTTGATTATAGAATACGCAAACAAGATACAGTGAAAACTGCTTAGGCGACCACCCGCATTCGACGGGCACCTGTCAAAACGGGCAAAAATTTCTGGCGCCGAATAGTTTATCCCTAGAATTTTCGTATAAGTTACCCGTATTAAACGACCACCCGTGTAACGCGACCGCGGGCATCGATTTTTGGTCCGAAACGACATACAACAGTCGTAATAAGCGACCACTTCCGCGAATATATCTGGTCTAAACTCTCGTTCGAACCCACCTCGGGCACTACTCCCACCGTCGAAATTAGGTGCAGGTGTTAATGAATTAGTCTAGCAACGAAGGAAATTCATTTCGGTTTGTTCGAAATTGTCCGAAAAACGAAAGAAATGCAAAGCGCTGTCGTTAGAAGATGTGTTAAAGTTATCCCAACAGCAATTAGCGGCGAAGTTTAACTGTGGGAAAACGAAATTTTCCGACAATTTGGAACGTCGAGCATGATTCCACTGACGTTCCAAACGCCATTGTCAAACTTCTAGGCTTACAGGAATGCGGCGCTGAACGTCCGACGAAAACATCGGCCTCAACCTCTACTTAATACTATATTTTTAAAAATATTTTTTTATTAAAGTTAAAATAAGATTAAACTAACGAATACCAAAACCAAAGTGATGTAGAGATACCACGCGCTTGTACATCGATGACGTAATACACGTAACTGAGGAGCGAACGAAAACAACCGAGTCGAAAAAAATAAAGTGTGCATTATAATCGAGAAAATGCGACTATTGCATTAATCTTTAAAATATTGGTATTGGATCTCTTATAAAATCATGACTCCCGTAAATCAAGTTATCCGATAAGAATAAAATACAATACCAATATGGCTCTATCGTTAAAAAAATTCGCTTATTTCTGCTCACCTCCAGTTTTGCTTAGTAGAAATGGCTAAAAAGTGCGCAAAATACGTACGGTATTACGGTACCACCTGTATTGGACGACCACTTTTTGAAGAAACCGTGGGTGGTCGCCATAGACAGGTTTTACTGTATTGATTTCTTGTTTACAGATCTGACAGAACTTTGGAATTGTAGACGTTCGTCACCGGAAAAGATTTCAAAAATATCGACTCTTATTGTTTTATTCGTAATTCGTAATGTGGAATTACGAATAAAATAAAACATAACAGATGTAGTCGTGGGTCAAGCACTTACCCCAGCCCACAGCGGTAGAGTGGTACAACGTCTGCCGGGTAGTTGTGAAGGTTTTCGTCTCCCATCGGAAGAACATCGGGTTTACATGTGACGATCGACCTACGTTTCTGTCTTCGCCGATATCTGAAAACACTGGGACCGGGAGCCCATGCTCGGACGTCTCGTCGGCCCGTTAAGAAGCTTTTGGACATTATTTTAGGAAACTGTCCAGAAGAATGCAGCTCTGCTGTTCGGAAAGATAACAGAACAAAAATTCGTGAAGCTGCAAATGTTCTTTTCTTGCTAGCAGATGACACTATCCGAGCATCGGTTCATCGTCCCATCAACGATGTTGATATGTCGAATAGTTTAATTAGTGAAACAGTTTCGAAATCCTTATCTGACAGTGTTTGTCGTATCCAACAGGAGATTTCCGAGAATGTCGGCTCTCTGATAACAAAGTCAACAAAATATTGGACACTGCAAAAAACACTATTCCGACTAGTTTACCGACCTCTAGATGCCTAGTTAGCCGTAACAATTGGGCTTTTCTTTAATCTATGCCGATAAGTGTCGTTAGAATATATGGCTGGCTTGCCGGGCTGCCTGTTAAACACGCGATAGGTTTAGTAGAGAGAGCGGCGCGACTCCCGATGGCGCTCCCCGGAAGTAGCGGTTGAAAGGTGGCGATCCTCGTGTTTAGGAAGCTTTTAGCCCTCTCTAGTAAGTTCGAACAGAAATAGTATAAAACGCGGTTTCGATATTGATATAATTTTACGAGTCTCTTTTAGCGTCTTTATACGAATACGGTCGCAATTTTTTCGCCGCGATATACGAATTCGCATTATATGAAATCGCGTTATAGGGGGGTCGACTGTAGTTCCTTTGACTTTTTTGTTCCTATCAATATGCTCTACATCTCTGTTAAGGATCCAATCGCGTTATTCGGAGCTTGAATTTACCTAATATTTAACTAATAGTAATTAGAGTAATTAATTAAGAATAGTGTTGATAATTTGTAATTATGACCATAAAATAGCATAAATAAAAGAGTTCCGACTATTGGCGCTGTTTACCGCAGCGGCATAATTTAGAAGTAATGCTGCAGTGTAACCATTGGCAACACTGTTTGAAATCAATAAAGATGGCGACCGGCTCGATTGTTCGCGTGGGAAGGATGTGGAGAAAGTTAGTGGAAACATTCTTTCGTTGGAGACAGTTTAATATGCCAGGTATACGAATGACCGATTCGTTTTATCTTAATGCTCGAGTGTTTTTTTTCTTTAATTTTATCGAAAGATTTTTGTATGTCGAATGCATTTGCAACGTTTACACTGACCCAAACCGGTGGCAGGGATTGTGTACAGATAACCACGTGCTTATTTTTACAAATCACTTTATTCGGGTAATCCTTCAGTTTACGTTGGTCATAGATAATATATATAGTTAAATATCAGTTGGAGTCAAGCAAAGGATGGCTGTGGTTTGTTTTTGCATATTACTACATAACTTGACTAGATAAATAGCTTGGTGGTGGTCTTTGGTTAGTCTAAGCCCAGGAAGGGCACTTAATACCACTGAAGTTTTGTATGTCAAGAAAATGAGACAAGCATTTCCATGTTTCTGTCTAGCTCGTGCAACTATGCTGGCTTTGATTAACCACTCTGTTATTCGTAGAGCACTCGACGTTATATGGTTTTAGAGGGTGCGGGAGCTTGCCCCGAGCGGGTGCCGGGGTTCGAGCGACGGCACGTGTTGAAGTGCACGACTACGCGCAGAGCACGGAAAATAGGCGGTAGTACCGGCCGACGTGAAAATGTATTTTTGGATGCAAATATTTCGCTGAGTTGCACTTATGGGTATGGTTCCGTTGAGTTGTTTTGCTCGTAACTCCGGGAGTGGCAAATCCCCATTTAGGAGTTTGCATCTTATCGTAAAAACTGTTTTCGAAGTGTCCGAGACCATCGCCAATCTATTTATCTCAAGTAACATAATATGATAATTAAAACTCCCTAGCCATCTTTTGGTTGACTCCTATCTACATATCTAGATAAATATCTGTATAGATACTTTTAATTATGATTAAAACATGAATTGGTTTATTTCTTATGAGTTGAAGAATATTCACATATATTATATTTAAAGACATATTAAAATATATATATGTCAGGGGCGTGCCGTGACATTTGATGATAGGGAAGCTGTGTTTCTATAAGAAGCCGACATCCAGGGGCAATCAGTTAATTCTTTCTTTAAATGTATTTTTAATAGATTATTTATCTGACGTACTTAATAAACAAGTTCATTATAATTACCTCTGTTATTAGATCCAATATATTCCATATGCCCTCTAAATGCCAATTCTTGCTTTGATAAAAACATATAACATCTATTTATTTAGATATAATATATCTATTACC